TTTCTCCCCGATTCCCCTATCATGCCGCTCGGCTCCATTAGGCGAATGAAAACCGGAAATTTTACGGTGAAATGGCGCGCATTGTCCGGAAGAAAAGTTCGGACGTTTCTGAGGAGCTTCGGTTACAGGGGAAGTGCTTGAAATGCCTCAGATTTTGATGAAACTTGGGGCAAATTTAGAATAATTGTTTCGAAGACATACGCGAGAATTATTTTTGGTCGAAAGTTGGCAAAAATGTGACAATTTTTTTTGCTAATTTAAACATGAAAATTTTTATACTTATTTCTACAGTAGAGGGTGATATTTCCACAAAAAATCAATTTTTTCCACGCAAAACTATCAAAAATATAGCCAAAAAGTGGTTTCCCCTCTGACCGCTCTCCGTTTTTCACGTACTCTCTCGGCAGAAAAGATTGTTGAATATCTCGGCTCTCCCTGCAAAGGAGAAGCTAAAATTTTCAGGAAATGATACGTGGCCTACGACTGACATGTCTACAAAATTTAAAGAAAATCTGAGCGTCGCACTTGGAGCAATCCTCCTGTAAATTTGGCCTGTGTGAGGTCACTATAAATGTCAATGTCTGTCGCTGAAGTGATAGTGGAACTTGTAAACAAACAACAAATACGATTACTAAAAAGATATAGCCACTTTCAGAAAATAAATACTACGGAGAACCGAGAAATTTTTCTGCGACAAATCCACATTATTTTCCCGACAGACTGACAAAAAATAGCTTTTCTTTTTCACACAGTGCATGTCGCAATGACTTCAACGACTTTGCGAACGGAGTACAGTAAAATTTTTCGAGGTAAACAGAGTAATTTGTGTACTGTTGCCCTTTGAACCCGAAAAGTGCTGCCCATTTAGCCGTATAACTTATATCGCGTTGTTGTTTTTTTGCGAAGGGCAGATAGATTACCGCTCAGAGAATTGGCACTTATTCCCATCAGAAAACAAAAATAGGAATCATCGTCATCGAGGGCGAGTGGAAGAATAGAATTTTTCGGGTGTTGTAATGCCAGAGACGTCTCTGCAACAAATCCACATTATTTTCCCGACAAGGTAGTCTATCCGTAAAGCCGCTGGAGTGATTTTGGCGACACGCTCTGTGAGAAAACAATAGTTCATTTTGCACTGTGCAATAGGCTTTTTCGGGCTGTCGTTCGCAACATGATTTCTTATGCACAGTGCAAACACCAAAAATCACTTCAAACACTTTACAAATGGCCTATTAATAAAAAAAATCACACAGGAAGTGCCTACGAAGCCTGGCAAAGCCGTTGGATGGCCGGCGGACGCTTGGCGAAGGCTAGGCGGAGACTTGGCGAATGCTTGCAAAACCTTGCTATAACAAACAATTTTCATTGTTTCATGAACCAATTTAAGGCCAAAAATAATCTCCGTACGACAAAAATTTTCATTACAAAAACTTTCCCCACCTAACACTTCGGACTTTACGCGCGGGTCGGTGACAGTTCGCGCAAACACAGAATCGATCGACACTGGGGGTAAAGCAGGTGTATACCCAAAAAAAGGTTGTAGGAGGTGTCTACGAGGCCTGACAAACTTGTTGGATGGCCGGCGGACGCTCGGCGAAGGCTCAGCGGAGGCTCGGCAAAGGCTTTCAATATGCCCATTTGTTCTCTATTACTAACGTTAGTTTTCTTTACCCTGGGTGAATATAACATATAAAAGGCCAAAATTCGCGGCAAAAAAAGAAGATATGTAACTTTTATCTTTATATTACTGAGGTGAGTACATGTAAAATAGCTCAAAATAGGTGATAAGCTATCCTAAGAAATCGAACATTTTTTACTCCCTTACGATCCCTTCATACAGAAGCTTGCCTAAATGTCATCAATTTCCAAAATTAATCAAAAATTCAAAAAGCTTGGAGCTTCAGCCTAAAAAAGTTACAAAGATCGGGTCGATTATCGCCAAAACAAACTCCTCATTTCCCTTCGTACACTTGACATTCCCTTTCCGCCGATCGATCATATCCCGAACTTACCGGCGTTGACAACTGTTTCCTTCGAACCCGGAACCCCAAAAAATTTCGTTTTTGACCTCCAGGAATTGTCAGACCTCGAACAATCCCTCAGACCCCGCATCATGTCCAGGTAATCCATCATGAGCGCACTAATAGCGGCCGCGCATTTTTTCAATTTCGAAAAAACACGGGGGCAGCGGACGCCATGTAGGCCACGTTGGACGGATTTTTGGCCTGTTCGACATGAAGTGAACCCGAATTTTTTTTGTTAAAATAATTTACACACACTAAACGGGTTCATAGATGAGTGAAATCATCAATTTTTGGGAGTGGGATAGATGGGCAAACGTTAAAAATTGAAGTGTTCAGAGTGCTTACATTGTGACATTTTCCTAAAATTTCGAACATACGTAGTGCATAGGATATACGTATCAGTCTGTCGGGAAAATAATGTGGATTCGTTGGATCGAAAATCGCATCGCCGCCGAGAAAATGAATTGTGTCGCGGCAAAATCAAATTGCTTTTCAATCAGCGACACGATCGATTGCAGCGAAGTTGTGGTCATTATTTTTCCGACACACTGATATTTTCTGATATTGCGAGAAACGGGTCCTACCTTTCCCCCACCTGACCAAAATTCTTCGCAATTTAAAAATCACGGTGGTACTTACAAAGCGTAAGCTAGGACTCTTGTGTGTATCTCACAGTGGGGGACCTGATTCAGTGGCAAAAACCGTACCATTTTGCATCCGGGAAGTATCAAAAAATATGGCAAAATACCTCCCTCTCCAAGTGAAAAAACTCAGATTTCAAAAGCTCTTTTTGTGAAAAAGGGCGCTTCCCTTCAAAACGAAGTTTTTTCACTTGGAGAAGGAAGCATTTTGCCACATTTTTTTATACTTCCCGGATGCAAAATGGTACGCTTTTTTGCCACGGGATCGGGTCCATCACTGTAAAATAGAAACAATGAATCTAAATTTGTGCCAAGTTGCATCAAAATCTGAGCGTCGCACTGGAAGTATATACTTCCCCTGTAAATTTACCCCAATTTCAAAATCTGTTGACACTATGTGCACACGTATAATAAAAAAATAAAATTAGCCTACATTTCATCCCGCATGAGACAAAAAAATGTTACGGTAATCTCTAATACCAAAAAAACTATTAATAAATTTTCGCGATTTGTTGAAAACGCTCTTGAAACCGCCATTGCGTGTCAAGGTTCACGCAAAAATTCTTATCGAAATACGTTATGACACAATACGATAAATATTTACAACCCAAAAAAGAGTAAAAGCCCAAAAAAAAACTAAAAAAACTTTTAGGGCATATGTAATTGTTACTTTAGTCATGTTACCCAAGTAGCGCGACGCTCGAAATTTAATGAACGAAACATGGCAAAAAATTGTATAAATCTTTTTCGAGACTCATAAGAGATTCTCAGCAGCTTTTGAAGATACAAAAGACAATTTTCAAGTACAAATTCGGCAAAAGGATAAGGCCAAAAAAGCTTTTTTCAGACGGTCGGATTTCCTTTAAATTTTGCACACATTTTGTGGGTAGGCCATGCAGCAAATCTTGAACATTTTAGCTTGTACTTTTCGGGGGAAGCCGAGGTTGAACGATCTTTACGGACGAGGAACTACGAGAAACGTGAGGACGGTTACAGAGAAAAACAACAATTTTGGGCCATGTCTTTGCCAGTTTTGTGCGGAAAAAATATTTTTTTTGTGGAAACATTGCCTTTCATGGTAGAAATAGGCATGAAACTTTTGATGATTCTTACATGTGCCTGAGGAAAAATAATTCTAAATTTAGCCGAGTTTTATCAAAATCTATGCGTTGCACTTGGGGTACTTCCCCTGTAAGTTTGGATCGTCTCTCTTCGTCGGTGTATGATTAGCGAAGGCTTGGAGAAGGTTTAACCAATACTAGTCGGCGCCTAAACTCTATTTTTTAAAAACGTTCTAAATAATTGAGTGTTTCGCTCAACTTCCTATATAAACAGAACTGAATACTTTTATCTTATTTCAAGCCCACACAACAATTACGTATTTGTATTTCGGGTTGTTGTACAATTACATTGCAACAGAAGGACGTCATAGCACCAGGAAGTTAAATAGTATGGTCAATTTAATTTTGGATAAACATTAATAAGTTTCACAACCGTGGTGCACGCAACAAAACGTTCGGAACTGGAGCAAAAGAGCGAAAAGGTGGGCTTGTGGGCAATATTCAGTAGTTTCACAATAAGAAATGATTTTTTGTAGAAAACTTGTGACTAGTACTTTTGGGACAAACTACCAATTTTTGTACGGAAAAATTTCGAAAAGTTTCGAAATTTTTTGTAATTTTGGGCTATTTTTAGACCTTAAAAAAATTATTATTTTCGTCTCAAAGTGCTTGAAAATAAAGAATCACACTTTGAAATACCCTAACGCCTCCCAGTTCCCCCAAAAATCGAAGCTACAGTCTCTCAAGACTCCAACATCCACACCACTTTGCCCACGCCCTGAAAAATGAATACCGATTTGATGAGTGATCATGTTATTCCCACAGCTGACTCCTCTTAATCCCACAGACACTCTGCGTTTATCCTTGTTCTTTGATAAAAACATGGAAAACAAAGGGCTTATGGGATCCGTCCATTAACTGGAACATGTGATACCGAAGCCATCAAGGACGTATTTTAATGGCATTGATGTTTGAAGTTATTTAGAAAAATCAAAAAGTGCATTGAAATGTCCTCCACGACTTTATACGCCATTTATCTCGCTTTTGTCATCATTTTTTCCGAATTTCCCGCGCTTTTGGCATTCGCTCATTTTTCTTGGCATTCCGTTTCAAGGTGTTTTTTCGCACCAAAAACGTCGATTTCTCGTTCGGAACGTTGTTCTCGCTTCTTACGTTCATCTAGGAAAAAGAAGTCGTCGAGAAAGCCCTGTAAATTACCGATTTTTTGGACTTTTGGAGACATGTTCCTTCGTCGACTTTTTTCAACCGGATCCATGGCTTCGAAACGCCTTATGGGTACTCAAGGAGAACAGAAGAAGCTGATTCAACCGACCGATCCATATCGACTTCCTATGGGGCATGCTAAAGTAAGCTTTTTTGGAGATTTTATTTTTTTCCGCTTTTAGGTCATAAGTAATATAAAATGATGGCTCAAACAAACGGTTTCCAAGATAAATTGTATTTGTAGTTTTTCGTGGAGCCTCTTGGTTTCTTAGTAGCTGTTTTTACACAAAATGAGGCAGTGTTTCTTTTCGTTTCGCCACTTATTATCTTATCCTTCAGCTAGCCCTCGCAACTCTCGGTTCTTTGTACATTGGCGGGAAGATAGCTCAGTTCGGTGTGTATCTGCTAGATGAATACGAGATCTTCGTTCACAGCGATGATGACGACGATTAGAGCGGGATACCACCATAAAATTTCTATATTTGCCCAGTCGATTGTGAGCATTTCAAAAATTAGTCATTACTGCCCGAGTGCTTGAGAATTACTGAAATAAACTTGTAAATAGCTTATTTATGTCATATTCTCCCTAACAAAAGCGAAAAAATCCGAATTCATCGATGAAAACGCGTTTTATTTGAGAATCATAGGCACTGATCAAGGATAATATAAAAATACGAGAAAATAATTATATTCGAATAATTATGAAAATGTTTCACGATGATTATCGAGTCTAGAGGTTCAATGTGCTCCTCCAGACGCATGAAATCAATATCTAGAGAAAGATTTTGCACTTGATCTACAAGTTCTTGACTTTCCATTGTTTGATGTTCGAGTCTTGCCCGATAGTGATCAAAGTGTTGTCGTCCAGCCATCTGACAATGTTAATGGGGCTCATTGCATGCGAATTTCTGAATACTCGGGGGTGTTCGCCGGACTTTTGGAGGTCCCAAACCATCAGATGGGTGTCCAGACCGCCCGACGCGATGTATCGCCCATTCGGCGAGAAGCTGGCATTGTTGACTCTGGCTGTGTGGAAGGTCCAGTCTTTCTCCGATGCCTGTTTGAAGTCATCCGCGATTTTGTAGGGCACAACTTTGCGGGCGGCATCAGTAGCGACAAGATGTTGTCCATCAGCCGAAAATTCGACTGAAGTTACGATTCCAGCGTGGTTGAGGACCTTTTTTTCAGTGAGCTTTCCTGCTGAATCGGCTTCGTAGATTCTAACTTTGCTGTCCTGCAACAAAAAACTATCAATTTCGTAAAATTTTTATCAAACTCCTCATGGATAATATAAAAAATCCTCAAAACTCGAAATTTATAGCTTCTTTTTTGCCTAAACCCATTTCAAACTCAATAATATTCCTTTAAACTCACCGCAGACCCAACAGCCACCAATTTATTGTCCTTCGAAATAGCCACGCAAACCCCGTCAAAGCCAAAGTCCAATGTGAATTTGAGGTCTTTGCCGTGGAACACGAAGATGTGCTTGTACGCCGCGACAACGCTGACCTTTCCATCGGCTGAGACGGCCAATCCACGAGGTTGACTAGACAATTTGACGGATTCTGACTTCACAGCAGCTAAAAATATTACTTTAGTCTACTACAATATATTTTTCCAATTTTTCTTGGCTTAAACCTACAAATATCGCCGAAAACTCCGCTGGTAAAGGCCACAGAGTCATCCCACGCCGCTGTGATCAACGTGCCGTCGGGGGTGAGGCCAAGTCCGGAGATCTGGGTCTTGTGGGGAGATGGCTCGATGCGTTCGGAAACTCCGGTAGCGGTCTCCCATCGGGCTGAAAATGATTTTTTACGTCATATTCCATCCTCTCCAGGCAAAAAAATTATACAAATCCGCAAAAAAAAATTATTTCTTTGCCTAAAGTAATATACAGCGGACCTGATCCAGTGGCAAAAAACGGACCATTTTGCATCCGGGAAGTTTCAAAAATGTGGCAAAATACCTCCCTCTCCAAGTAAAAAAACTCCGATTTCAATAGCGCGCCTTCAAAACGGAGTTTTTTCACATGCAGAGAGAGGTATTTTGCCACATTTTTTGATACTTCCCTGATGCAAAATGATACGTTTTTTGCCACTGGATCAGGGCCCTCAGTACAACTTGTTACCTAAAATTTCAAAAATCCAAACTCAAAAGCAACTTACTGATGTTTCCTTCGAAATCCGCGGTGAAAACGAACTTCTTGTCGGCCGAGACAGCTGCGGAAGTGATGGGTCGATTATGGCCCTTAATAGTCTTGGCAACACTTCCACTTTCCGGCTCAATATACGAAACAAAGCCGGCTAGGGACACGGAAATGATCCATTTCGCAGTCCAAATCAGACCCAGCTGTTGGTTATTCACATTATCGCCAAAGGAGACGGTTCTAAAATCCGAAAATCAAAAAAAAACTTTAAATTCCTACTTTTCCAGCGATTTTCCCTCCACATCCCAGATTTTGACGGTTTTATCGCCGGAGGCGGTGGCCAGCTTCTTGCCGCAGGGAGACCATGCCAAACCGAAGACTCCACCAGCGTGGGCGGCGTCTCCTTTCACGGACGAGTCGAGCAATTCGCCGGATTTTGCGCCATCAACCCCTTCGAAGAGGATAACCTTGCCGTCAGCGCCGGCGGAGGCGAACAAAGTCCCGTCTTTGTTGTATCTGACACAGTGGACGAAGCGAGTGTGCTCGTGGAAGGTCTGAAACATAACTATGAATAATTTTCAAGTCAAAAAATCAAAAAATTTTTTGATCTTATCAAATTTTTGACCTAAAAATGAAAAAATTTTTAAAAATCCTAAAAAATGATGACTTACAGTCTTGAACTTGAACGGAGGACCCTCAAAAATGGCCACAGTGTTGTCCTCACTGCCACTGACCACTCGGAAAGGTCGGTTTGGCTTGAAATCGACCGAGCTGACCGGTCGACTTTGGCCGGACAAAGATCCGTTACTGGTGCCGGTATCGAAAAGGAAAACGTGGCCAAATCTGCAAAATGTCATCAGTTAGTCATATTACAACTCTCGCAAAAAAAATTCGTAAGAGACTTAAGATTTGGCGAAAATTTTATATTACACTAGGTCATCAAGTGAAATTTTAATTTTTCCACCCAAAACAAACATTTTACTGACCTTTCTCTGGCCTCTCCAACAGCCGCAAGTCTTTTGCTCTCCGAATCCCATGCAATGTCTCGGATTGGACCACCAATGACTGGGTATTCGGCCTTGAGAATATGCTCCTTCTGAGTGGTGTCCCAGATCCGGATCTTGCCCGACTGATCCCCGGAAGCGATGTAAAATCCAGTAGGAGAGTATTTGGCAACAGTTGTGAGTACGGAGTGCTCTGTATAGATATCGGTCTTGGTGATATCCTAGAAATAAAATTTTAGTGGACTGATGACTAAAGTAAGGTCATTTTTCCCAAAATTTGTAGAGCTATGGACGAAAAAACCTTTCAAAAGCTCTTTTATATAATTTAGAACAAAAATCACATCAAATTTTTGAAGAAAACATATTAATTTTCTTCAATTTCCACCTACTTCAATATCCCTGATGTAAACGCTGTTTCCGTTGCAATATAAGAACGTGGAATTGTCGTGTTTCGAACTCAACACCAACGGAAGACCTCTCACAGTCCTGGGGAGTGATGCGAACGTGTTCACCAGGTCAATCTCGCCCTCACCCGCCATTTGGGGTTTGTTCAAGATCTACACCTAAAATAATATAAAACTTGGTAAAAAACATTGAAATCGAGGAAAATTTAGATGTAGAAAGATTCACGAGAGATTTAGAGGGCTAGAATTCAAGAAATTGGTATCTTGCCCAAAAATTTTATCAAATTTGACAAATTTTAAGACAGGTATCTAAAACAATATAAAAATTGGCGAGAAAATGCGAAATAAAAGAAAATTTGTGGAAAAACAGATGACAACTGGTCCAAATATCAACAAAATACAATATCATTACACCACTCAACGTATTTTACCTCAAATTTTTACAAAATCCCACAAAAATTCAAATTATTACCTAAAATTTCAAAAGTCCAAAACCCGGGATCCCGACTTAATTTCGAAGCACTTTGGGATGCCCCATTTCTTGAACATTAGTTTCGGTCAGTTCCTTTGCCCCGTCCCCTTTATTTTTACTTCCATTGATCTCGAGAAACGAGGAGGGAGGCGAAAAAATCGAGATTTTCGAAGGGATTTTTCTTTGAGTGGGCGAAAAATTTTGGTGCGACAAATAAACATGGCCTTTCTCATTGTAGCTAGAGTCCATTTCGTTGGAAAAAGTCAATAAAAATAGTCGAAAATAAAATTTTTTTAAAAATATTCCGAAATGGTCATGGATAATATAAAAAATTGCCGATATCTCATGTACAACAAAAGATGAGCTGCTGAAATTTTAACAATGTAAAATTAAGACCATAGACTTTGTATTAGAAGAAAAAACGTTCATCGTCTTCGATTTGAACGCCTTCAAAATGCGAATTCCGTTATATTGGACATGCCCGAAATGAATCATCTGGGCCGCCCGGACCCCGCCGTTCCTACAGCTGTTCGCGACCAGATCAGGGCTCAAAAACAAGATGACGCCGTCAGACACATGATCAGACGAAATTAGAAAGCAGTGAAATATATTATCCATCACCATTTTTTTCGGTGATGGATAAGAAAATAAAATCAAAATAATTTTGTATTTTTACCGCCAATTCTAGCTCTCGCGATCCAAAAACAGTTTGAAGGTCAGATCGCGTCGTTTCGTTGGTGATTCACCGCGGAATTTTGGAGGCGCGCCAATTTTTGATTAAAAAGACGGTCTAGTATAATATAATTCAAATTTCAAGGAAATCTTTGTAAAATGCGGCTTAAAAAACACTGTAAACTCGCTAAAGTAACGGGAAATTCGCAAATCGTCAAAAATTTACTCGACAAAAATTTGAAAACAAATTTTTCCGAAAATTTTTTGCTCGTCTAGAAAACCTGTCATCTATAACATGATAAACCCGATTTCCCCTGTAAATTTGAGTTTTGGCAAGTCAAATAGTACAAATCTACGATAGATTACTAAAATTCTCCCAATAAGTTCAGTAATAAGCTTGTGCAGAGCCTGTCATAACGACGTATTTTCTGAATGAGTCAAGTGTTTCTTTTTATCCGAAAACGTGTCAAGTCTCCCTTTTTCGAGTGTTCTATCAATTTTTTAGGTGTTTCTCCGATGTAATTCGACTTTTTTGTCGGGTATTTATGCAATCGCATTTATTACCGTCGTATTTTACCAAAAAATTCAACTTTTCCACCTTCTCCTCTTGTGTAACATTATTTTTATCGAAAAAATAATGTTTTTGAAAAGGATAAGAAAACTACACGAAAAAAGTCCGATCAAGTGATGAGCGTTTGGATAATAATTGCTGAAGTCGTGTAGTTTGTCGGCGGACCCGTTTTTGCATCGATTTTTATATTACTTTAGTTCTCTTTGTAGGGTTCCATCAAAAAATCCACGAAAATGAGCAGCAACGACCTTGTGGTTGATTCCTGGGAACAACTGGACGATGAGGAAGGTGAGCAGAATGGAACCGAAGCTCTGGACAAAGTATGTTGTTCTATCTTTTCTTTTTATTTCGATTTTTAGTTAAACGCTGCGTTGGAGAACCTCAAGGTCACAAAAACAGCCCTGAAGCCGGCCAAAGATCCGTTCGCGGAGAAGAAGAAGAAAGCTGAAGTGCCGAAGGCTGTGACGGCATCGTTGAAGACATCAGACTTGGGATCTAGTGGGGATGAGAAGGATTCGGAGGGCAAATACGACGGGCTGAGGCATATTGTGATAGTCAAGGGAAATCCGGTTGATGAAGAGTCGTTGATGCATCGAATAACGGCTGATTTTGGAAGAAATGTGAGAATGGAAAAGGTTGATGAGAAAACAGTGCTATTGGTTTTCCATAACACTTTGAATGGTGAGATCTTGGAATGGGATAGCCAGATCTGACGTTGGTTGAAAAAATTTAGGAAATCAATGGGTTTGGCACATTTCAATTGCTGATGATCTCGGAAATAGACTATAGATTGATCAGAGAAGTTAAATACGGCTTTTAAAACAGAATGAATACCAAAATCGGCCATATTTTATATTGTAGTAGACATGAATTTGGATTTTTATGATTTTTCTTCCCGAAATTTTAATTTATTACTTTCCCACTTTCTGTATAACTGTAATGATCTATTTTTGATCATTTTAGCGCGTCATTGCGTCCGCTCCTCCAACAAATACGCTCCCATGAAGCTCTATCTTGTTGATGAACCAGAGGTGGATGAGCACGTCAAATATTGCCAAAAACACAAATCCACCCTTCGACCAGTCCAATCCGAAGTCCGACCAGCCACAAATGTCAGCGTGATACGACAGGCCGTCTCCAGACATCTCAATGTTCGAGTTCCAGTTTCGGCGGAGCAAAAGAACGCCGAAAAAGAGCAAATCCGCGAAGCCAAGGAGAGGAAACGCGCTATCAAGGCGATATGGGAGTAATTCGAAGCCTTTTTAAGCCTATTATCAACTAATCAAGTCATATTCATCCAACGGTTGTGGTTCTCCGAGATCTCTTCGATTACTGCAAGGAGCATATCCCGTCAAATCCAGGTGTAAAAAATACCCAATTTTTTCTGTATATATATGTAATTAGCTTTCTATCGAACTTTTTCATAACTCTACCTCGAAATAAACAAGTTTTACGAAGAGTTTTCAGCAAATTTTTGTCATTTTATCAACCTTCAGACAGGTTTCATCGTATAAAATGTCCGAAATTTTTATTTTCGCGTTTTTTCTCAAAGTTTTGGGTCTGTCAGTTTGGAGGTGCTCCACATGGCATTCAAACCGCATTCGGTAAAGGGATTCTTACTCGACATCACCGGAGTTTTGTATAACAGTTCACCAGAAGGCGGCGAGGCCATCAAGGGATCAATTGAGGCGATTGCAAGGTAAATTATTGTGTTATTTGGGATTGTTATGAGTTGTAACGGCTGTTACAACGCGTATACTAACTTGTGAAACAACTTAGAACATATTTAACCTCAAAATTATAATTTTTGGATATTATCCATGGCAAGTGTAATATAATTTATGTCGAAAAATTTAGGTTAAAAGGCTTTTTTTGGGAGTTTTTTGCTTTGTTATGACTTGTGATTGACCCTGATGATGTTGCAGACAGTTTGAAGAGTTTTTTCATTACTCGTGGCAAGTGTAATATCCCATCTCGTTCCAGGCTCTACAGAGAAAGCACACTGCGATTTGTGAGCAACGAGAGCACCTCCACACCGGCGAAACTTCATGCCAAGCTGACTCGACTCGGCTTCACCTTGAAGCAGGAGCATTTGTTCACACCGGCTCCAGTGGCAGCTGACTACATTAAGAGAAATGGACTTCGACCTCACCTACTAATTCATAAAGGTAGAGTGTTATTTTTTGTTATTGCTTTGATTTTTAGGGGTACTAGAATGCTTTTCCGACTGTGATACGACGAACCCCAACTGTGTAGTAGTGGGCGATGCCGAAGACGACTTCACGTACGAGAACATGAACAAAGCATTCCGGGTGTTAATGGAGTCGGAGCGACCTTTGTTGATCTCCCTTGGATGTGGGTAGGTGTGAGAGATCTCAAGGGAATTTGAGGTGAAAAATAAAAAGTTTCATTTTGTTGCCTAAAATATGCAAACGTCGTTGTAATCGGTTTTTAAGGTCTTGAATCAGCTACAAAAAAGTTTTTTTGTAGAATCTAGAGCCTTGATTTTCCTTATGAGACAATTTTAAGGGCAAAAATCACCAAATTTTATATTGTAGTAGGCATGAGTTGGAAAGTTTTTTGCTGTTTGGCCCAAAAATGGAAAGTTATGGAGTCTCAACTTCTCTCAGAGAAATATTAAGTCCTTTCTGATATTCCCCAACGATTTTCAACACCCAATATCATCTCATTTCAGTCGGTTCTATCAACGAGTCACAGGCCCTTGTATGGATCTCGGCGGCTTCGCAATCGCCCTGAAATACGCCACCGGCTGCGAACACATTGTGCTGGGCAAACCGGACGAGTCCTATTTTATGGCCGCCATCAACGACATGGGTCTGAGCAAGGAGGAGGTGGTTATGGTGGGCGATGACATTGTGAGCGACATTGGCGGCGCCCAAAGCCACGGAATCCGCGCGATCCAAGTGAAGACCGGGAAATGGCGACCAGAATGGGAGAAACACTACGTGAACCCCGACTTCATCGCTGACAACCTTCAGCACGCGGTGGAGACAGTGCTCGACGCCAAATAAGCCTTAAACTTTGCGAGGAACTCACTTGGACAATGATCTGACCGTGTGTAATATAATATAAGTTCATAATAAAGTGATAATCATCGATAAATACGGCGAGGAGAAGAGTTGACTCACTCGGGTCAAGTCTCTCGCTAGCTTTCTTTTTTTTCTGGAAAACAAGTTGGTCGATTTTCTGGATCGCACCGAGCTGAGTTCATTTCGATTCGAATTAGACGAAAACCTCCAAACACGGCGTTAGTTCGGAGAGCGTTTGCTTTTTCCTCGGCTCCATTTATGCGCCGATTCTTCGCCACGGGAATGCCGGAACAAAAAGGAACCCAATCAGGTATGTTTTTGAAGATTATTGTGTTTTGAGTTTAGATATTTTATTTCGAAGAGGTATGAGTGCTGTCAGAAGGTTTATAGCCTTACTAAACTTAAATTAGAAGCTGACATCATGGATAACATAAGCTTTAGTCAGATTTAGTAGGAATCTCAATGTTTTGAGGTGGATCAGCTACAGGATCGCCTTGAAAACGTTATAGAAACGTTTTGAACGGTTCATATTGAAATTTTGTGTCAAAATTCTGGAGATTTTTGATGGCCAACATCTGAAAGACACTCTTCTTCAATTATTTTTCCTTTATGCCGTAGCATGTCCAAAATTTCAGCAGCGGTCCAGGAGAAGATCAAACAGCTCGGAAAGAAGCCGGAAGAGCTTACTGACGCCGAATGGCAAAAGGTTTTACCCGATGAGGTGTACCATGTTGCTCGTGAAGCCGGGACAGAACGGCCGCATACAAGCGAGTTCGTGAAGAGTATGAAACCCGGTAAATACGTGTGTTTTTGCTGCCGCACCGAATTGTTTGTGTAAGTTCAGTTTTTTCTTTGATTTTTCCGGTTTTAGATCTGAATCGAAGTTTTATACTGATTGTGGCTGGCCGGCATTCTCGAAGTCGGTGGAGGGTGATAAGAATATTGTGAGAATTGAAGATAATTCTTATGGAATGCAGAGAATCGAAGTTCGATGCAGGAAGGTGAGTTCTGGCGATCAAATTATATTGTAGTAGGTGGTTTGATGGAAAATTTTGAAAATTTCTGTTTTTCACTTTTTATAGAGACTTCAAATCACTCTCCAGGCTTTTTTGTTTGATCTGGAGCTATCTATACTGCATAGAGCCGTGTTTCTACCCTAATATTTTAGTGTAATGCCCATCTCGGCCATGTTTTCGACGACGGTCCGATTAAAGATGGTGGAGAGCGGTTCTGCGTCAACGGATGCTCTCTCGACTTTGTTCCAGAAGCGAAGTAACGACGGTTTGGCTGCCTTTCACTTACAAGTGCCTTGCAAATTAATTTATGGGAGTAATACTAATAATTATTAGTCTGGTGACAATATAAATACGTTTGAAACTGGGTGAAAAATTTCGTGCGTATTTTTACCATAAAGGGTAATGTTTCCAGAAAAAAACCAAATTTTTCCGCGCGAAACTGGCAAAGATATGGCGAAAATTTGTTTTTCTCTGACCGCTCTCCGCATTTCGTATACTCTCTCGGCCCCAAAGATCGTTGAATATCTTGGCTGCGGCTGCAAAGCACGAGCTAAAATTTTTAGGGCTTGATACAAGGCCTATGCACAAAATGCGTGCAAAATTTAAAGAAAATTTGTCGCACTTTGGACCCTACCTTCCTTAGGTTGTTGTTGTAGACCAACCAACCCAATTTCTCTTCCATTTTTGGCTCTGAACTTCCGAGCCGTCAATGTCGCAAGACTTTTGTTTGTCACTTCGCCGGCCGCGGTGCGGGTATTTTTGGGACGCGAAGCCGGATGTGACCTATAATCGAATCAGAACGCTGAGAACTCGGTTTGTGGCAAAAGGACGAGTAAAAGTTAAGTTCGAAGATACTTCTTCGCGCTCAAAAGTTCGGACAATCCGCACAATTTTTTTGTTTTACACTGTCGCGGGAAGTTACTGCTTTTCGACATCCATTCAAAAGCAATTCAGCCAGTTTGAAAGCGAATACGAAGTAAATTGTATATTTGTCTCAACGATGATTAATCATCATTTCCGCTACATGCATTCAACAAAAAATTTTAAAAAATAAAAAATAAAGGAATTCCAAATTCGAATTCGTCCATTCAAAAGCGATTCAGCCATTTTGAAAGCGAATACGAAGTAAATTGTCTTTGGATTCACGAATTCGGACGATTTATCGCCGACGCCGCGCGCAAAAATGCACGTAGCTAGTGCAAAAACCGCAACCTTTCATTTGGGACCGATTTCTTTTTGGGCAAATTGGGTATTGACTCAATATGTATGGCCAATGTTGCAAAATTCTTTGGCCAGCCGGCCTGATGACTTTTGAAATCACAACTAAACTTTTTAATGGCTGGCTAAAAACCTGGGTCGGCTTCCTAATGTGTAAAAATGGCTTTGAAATCTCTAAAAAAGCTAGTGAAAAAAGATTTTGATACCTTGATCGACCAGCCAAAGTATCAAAATCTTTTTTGGCTGGTTTTTTCGAGATTTCAAAGCCATTTTGACACTTTGGCAAGCCGATCCAGGTTTTTGGCTCAACATTAAAGTTTAGTTGTGATTTCAAGTCGGACCGGCTGGTCAAAGAATTTTGCAACATTGACTATGCATATTGGGCCACTACCCCATTTGCCCACAATGAAATCTGTCTCAAATGAAAGGTTGCGGTTTTTGCACTAGCTACGTGCATTTTTGCCCGTGACGACGGCGATAAATTGTCCGAATTTGTGAGGCCGAAGATAATTTACTTCGTATTCGCTTTCAAAGTGGCCAAATCGCTTTTGAATGGACGAATTCGAATTTGGAATTCCTTTATTTTTTTATTTTTTTAAAATTTTTCGTTGAATGGATGTAGCGGAAATGATGATTAATCATCGTCGAGACGAGTTTTCAGAATGACATGAGGAAATAGACGAGTTGAGGGTGGGGACTGGGTAAATAGAGAAGGTTACAGTAAGTCTTATTAGTCCTTCGTTTTTATTATACAGATGGCAGTCAGGTTGGCTCGGAGATCACGTATTAGTCTGTGGGGAAAATAATGAGCACTCTGTCGCTGCACCGATCGCTTTGCTGAAGTGAACAGTGGTTTGATTCTGTCGCGACAAAATTCATTTTTTTCGTCGGCGATGTGCTTCTACATCGCTCCGTTATGCTCATTATTTTTCCGACAGAGTGATGCAAGTGCATTATTACAATACTGTCGATTTTTGAAAAGAACCTGTGCAGCGCGCGACTTCTGAATCGCGCTTTTTACCAAATATCCACGGAAATTTTTCATCAGTAAGTCGGAAAAACAAAGAGCACAATGTTGCACCGATCACGTCGCTGCAGTGAGAAGCAATTTGATTTTGCCGCCACGCAATTCATTTTCTTGGCGGTTATGCGCTTTTCGATGCCACAGAGTGCTCATTATTTTCCCGACAGACTGATAATCTGCGACCCTCAGATTTTGGTGAAACTTGGCGCAAATTTTGAATATTTTTTCTACAGCCTATCCAAGACTTTTAGCTTGCGCTTTGCAGAAAATACCGAGATTTTTAGGTCAAAAGTCGATTTTGCCGCCGTTAATTTCCTCGGCGGCGATGCGATTTTCGACGCGACAGAGTGCTCATTATTTTCCCGACAGACTGATAGTAAGCTCAGTTTATCGGGCCGGCCTATGGGCCGTAGTTGTTCTCCCGGCCGCCTCCAGTTTGCTTTGGGGAACCATGCCCAATACAGAGAGTTGCCTTTGTAACCTCCTGACCCTTTCGCCAAACCTAAGCCTCTTTCGTTGTAAGAAACTTGTCGTTGCTTCTTTTGGATAAACAAGTCTATCAGGCCAAATCCCTTAACCGGTCAACATATGCAAACTCCACTCGAAAATCCCTTCCACATGATGAAAATATTTTTTCTTGTCCCATTTTTTATGCCTTTAGGGCTTTTTGCATAATTTCGTGAGAACTGCATTCTGTATTCGTGGGTAATCGCCCATAAGCGACGTTATTTTACATTTTTAGTCCGCGATTGCAATAAAAGTAATCTCTTTTTTTTACGTTTTTATGTCACATATTTCCATAAATATGCGGCATAAAAATGGAATTGCGTTGCAAATATGGGCTGAATGACGTAGAGGTCAGAGGGTTTGTTGAGCTCGGGTTATGGATATGATTGATTTTTATTTTGGTGATGCAATGGACATTGCGACAGTGTGCTCATTATTTTCCCGACAGACTGATATACCAGCGCAGTTCAAGTGATTCACGGTCGAAGATCCATTCGATGTGGCGTTTTGTCGCAGATAGAGTCTTATACAGTGGGGGGACCTGATCCAGTGGCAAAAAACGTATAATTTTGCATCCGGGAAGTATCAAAAATGTGGCAAAATACCTCCCACTCCAAGTGAAAAAACATCGTTTTGAAGGGCGCGCCCTTTACCTCACAAAAAGAGCGACCGCGCTTTCAAATCGGAGTTTCTTCACCTGGAGAGGGAAGCATTTTGCCACATTTTTGATACTTCCCGGATACAAAATTGTACGTTTTCTGCAACTGGATCAGGTCCCCCACTGTAGAAGACCGTCTATCTGTTTTATTCATGGCTAGCCCGAGCAAAACGTTGCTCTTTGGCCAAAAAATAATGTCTTTAATTTTTCTTACAGTGGCGGACCTGATCCATTGGCAAAAAATGTACCATTTTGGATCCGGGAAGTATCAAAAATGCAGCAAAACACCTCCCTCTCCAAGTAAAAAAATCTCAAAAGACCCCCGCGCCCCGCATAAACGGCTTCTTGATTTCAAAAACGCGCCCGCTCTTTTTGGAGTTTTTTAATTGTAGTGGGAGGTATTTTGCCACATTTTTGATACTTCCCGGACGCAAAATTATACGTTTTTTGCCAAAGGATCAGGTCGCTCATTATGCCTTTTTGAGATCAAAAGAAAATTCTTCCGAAAGAATTTTACTATGAAAAATCTTTTCATCGGTTGATAATTTGTGGACGAAACGTCGAAACCGTTCAGTAAATGCACAAGGCTGACCTGCGATATGGCTAGGGAAGGCTCCCCTTTGCCCTTTCCAGGCCCGGCCTCCGGTCAGGGTATCCTGCCAATTCGCAAAGATCCCGTTGTTCCCCCGTTTAGTCGAGGCCAAAAACCGGGTTAGAAACTACAACAATAAGCAGTTTCCTTATGAGCAGAAACCACAAATCCTCCTTTTCATCGTTGGAACATCTTCTTTTAAAAACTCTCAAGTTTTCTAAAAAGGGAAGTGCTTCAAGTGCAAGGCTTACAAGATTTTGATGAAACTTGGCTCAAATTTAGAATATTTTTTTCTAACGGTAAGATATGTGCAAGACTCCTAATTAGTGTTGTGCAGAAACGACCGAGATTTTTTAAGTCAAACAGTTGTTCAGTTTCTATGCAGAGCGGGAGTTATACAGTGGGGGACCTGATCAGTGGCAAAAGACGTACCATTTTGCATCCAGGAAGTATCAAAAAATATGGCGAAATACCTCCCTCTCCAAGTGACTAAACTCAGATTTCAAAATCTCTTTTTTTGAGGAAAAAAGCTTCCCTTCAAAACGAAGTTTTTTTGGCTTGGAGAGGGAAGCATTTTGCAACATTTTTTCACACTTCCCGGATGCAAAAATGGTACGTTTTTTGCCACTGGGTCAGGTCCCCCACTGTATTGTACAGATACTTGATTGTCTTGATTGCACCTATCGAGTCGCTGAAGTGAAAAGCAATTTCATTTTGCTGCGACACGCTTAATTTTCTCAACGGCGATGCGATTTTCAATGCGACAGAGTGCCATTATTTTCCCGACAGATTCATATATTTATCTTTTCCAAAAGTTGCAAGCTTGCTTCATCTTTAGCTTGCGTGATTTTTCGTTCTTTCGAACTGGGCCGAAAAATGATTTTTTCACCACATGAACACGAAATGTTTTCACGTAGAACAACTTGGAAGCAAAAAAAGACGCGCCATTTTTTAATCTCTTTTGTTCATGTTGGCCGCCCACATGAAAAAAATCGCCTATCCCGCTGTTTTTTTTTGAAGTAGGCCGCAAAAAATGTAGTCTAAAAACAAAGCAAGTTTATAACTTTTTCCGACTAATACATGCTGAAATAACAGCTTCTTTATTCACGCTTTGCATCTCCAAATTCGCGGCCATTCCAAGTATGTCAAGCCCCACAGACTTCTTGACTTATTTCGAGGCTAACCCAATTCCGCATCAAACTCAATTCCGCATCAGAATCTCGCTGCCTCCACCCCTCAATCCTATTGTTTTCCGCGCTCA